AAAAAGGAAAGAGTTGGGATAGTTTTTGTTTTTAAAGTAATGGTGGAAGTAGAGGTTTGATGGAGTTGTGAGAAAATTATTTTCGAACTCTATTGTTTAACCACAAATCTAAAACAGAACTGCTTGTCTATTAACAGAAGTAATGAAAAGTTTTTTTAATGTAATTTAAAAAATGCTAGTGATATTTAACATGGAAGCACCAGAGGAATATTTGAGGTAGTAAATAGTGAGGCTTAACATTTTTACCTTAAATTCTCATATCCAGACAACTCAGTAATCCATAATCTATATTTTATCCTTTTTTCCCTCTTTACAGCATCAGCACCAGACAAGAGTTCAATATATGGCAGTTTTTCAGATGGTATAATATTTCCTTTTGTTATAGTTGTACTTATTTTCTTTGTCTTCTTATCATTGTCCCAGAAGTTTAATCACTCATATTAAATAATTTGGGTCAAAATACTTCAAGGCTTTCTCACAAAACTGTGTTAAGAGTGTGCTTTGTACTAGGGCACTGTATGTCATGCGTAGCTGTTAGTCTAATGGGTACTTGGATCTTCTTCTTTTTCTTCTGTTTCTGGATGATCTCTGCCTTATTTTCTTTCAGTGGATGTTGTATTTTCTTTCTCTATTGGAAATGCTTAAATTATGAAACATAATTTGTATTATTGTAAATTGATTGTCTTTATTACTTCTATCATTAGATGACAGCATTCAGAAATCAGAGCTTGGAAACCAGTTTCCTTCAACCTCGAGCCATCGTAAGTTTGTTCATTCATTTTTATTAAGTGAGTCTCCAGTGATCGATATTGTTTTTAATTTTTTGACAGTAAAATAACAATGCTCTTTGAAGAACTGTATTTTAAGTACCTCAAAGGAAAAAATATATATTTTATTAGCACCAAAATTATTTAGGGACAACCATATGAAACAACATCTGATTTTCCCTTTCATTTTATTGTCCATAATACCAAATGTGAAAGTCTGTAAGTAGAGCTGCTTATATAATACTACTAACCAAGTGAATCAGCTGAGTCAAAGAAAAGATGATACATATTATGACATAGTGGGATTACTATGGGTTTTAGAGTCCACAGACCTGTACTGGAATTAGATTGGACCACTTCTGTGTAGTTTCAGGGCAAGTTTCTTTGATTCTCTACGCCTGTTCATTATCTGATTGTGTACTAAGAAAATAGTTTAACAATCTCAGATTTTTTTTTTCTCAGTACCACTTTGCACTAGCAAAGTGAATGCTCAAAAGAGCCTTTTTTAAAAATACAGGTTATACCTATCTATATTTTCCTAGAAATTAAAATTGAAAAGATTTGTTAATGTTTATTGTTTTATTTTTTAAGCATTCAGTAAGAAGAATGATAAATTGCTTTGCATTATTTCTAATCTTCTTAATGCCTGGTTTTTAAAAATATATCTGGAATCTTATCAGTGCTTCTCCATTTAGTCTGTTACAATAGTTTTGGTTGAAGTAACCTGCAAAAATCCAGCTTTATACAGATATGTAGAACTTTAGTAGTCTTCAGATAATTGTAAATACTCTCTTCTGATACTGTCTAAAACTCAATAAGTGGTAGTTTCTGAATGTCATTTGAAACGTGAAATCTGAAATCATGTTAATGAACATCCGGTACATTAAAATCATGGGTCTTTCTTGTACTTTTAGTAGACTATCATGCACTGATGATTTGGAAAATACTGGTTCACTGTCATGTAGATCTTCTAGATGTTAACATATTAGTAATACAGTATAAGAAGGTCACATTTTTTTAATATCACCATCCATCTCAAAAAGTCTCAGTATGGGGAGCTGTCAAACTCAAGGTGGCAGGACAGTATTTCTACAATCCTAATTTTCACTTAAAACCTTGATTTCTTAAATTGGCAACATTGTTAGTTGTTTCCCTAGAAGCAACAGGTTCACTTTGTTCATTTTTAAGAAAATTTCTACCAAATACACAAACCATAGTTTGTCACTTGTTAGTTCAAATAAAAATTCCATGAAAAAAAGCGTAACTTCGGCTCAAAACTCAGTCACACAAAGTTCTTTTCCTCTGTACTTTCTTTCCACTGTACTTTCCTTTGCAACCATTGTACTATGCAGAAGTGCTTTAAGTATACTTCCCATGTCTTCATACAGAAGATTAGAATATGTACTCAAGGGCTGAATTTTAATAAGATAAATAACTTTCATCGCTTTATGAAGGACATTGTTAAGTTAAACTGGTAACCTTGAATGCATGGCCGTGAAAATACAAAGACTGTACTAGTCTTTTTGGTGCCATTGTCCTGTGATTCATGCTAAGACATCAGTTGTTTTTCCCACCATGGCTTTTTGTACCATCCATGGGAAATGTCAACGTGATGAATAGGGATTAGTAATATCTTAGTGTTACAAGAGTAGCTTTAACCTCAAGGCTCCCCTTGAAAGGACCTCAAGGTACCCCACCAACCACTCTTTCAGAATTGTTGCTCTAAAAGGTCCATAGAACAATTACTAGCCTAAAGCAGTCAATCAATAAACAGAAAGTGTAAAAGTATTACTGTTGCTATCATATTAAATGATTAAATGAACTGGTGTTTGAGAAAGTGCTTTATAACATCAAAGGCACTGGATAAATGTAAATTGATTTCGTTATTGCCAATAATGGATTAGGGATGAGTTGCAAACTAGATTTTACCAGTGACTTGCATACCACAAAAGATGGGCATCAGTGCAGTTGTAGGGACAGGTTGCCAGTGTAATGTATGGAAGATGTTCACTTATAGTTGAGCATCCTTTCTTTATCCCTTTACATATTTCAAAACATTCCACCTTGGATAATTAGCAATGTGAGCTCTTGAGTTTTTAAAATTTTAAAATATTTTATAAAATGTCTTTTAATACTGTTTACTTCCCAAATATTAGCTGTAGTAATTATAGTTTTGCTTTATAAAATGTTTTATTTCTGACTTGTTTATGTCATTTCATGTACTTAGATTCTCATTTCTCCTCTCTGAGATTTATAATTTTGACATTGAAGAGACACATATGCATACTTACACACATAACTTAAAACCTATGGATATGAGATTTTCTTGTATACATGTGATAAATTATTTCTTAAAGAAAGTAAATTATCAGCTCCCTTCTTTAAATTTCTCCTCTTTTATCAAATGTTCATAAAGATTAATATTCGTTTTGAAAGTTACTTGCCCTTGTATCTAAGAAAATGGTATTTGTATCTGTCATTTCTTCTTTTCCCAAGCAGAAGTGACTGGACAACCCAAAAATTCATCCTTTGTCAAAATGAAGTGGTGGTGGCCACTTGTTCTGATAGCTGCTCTTGCCAGTGGGAGGTTTTTGTTCACTCGTACTCCTGAGGTAGAAGCCTCTGCTGTTAAAGAGTTCCAGAACCAGATGAAACAGCTTATGAATAAGTACCAAGGTCAAGATGAGAAGCTCTGGAAGAGGAGCCTAACATTCCTAGAAAAACATCTTAATAGCTCCCAGCCTCGGCCTCAGCCTGCTATCTTGCTGCTCACTGCTGCCCGAGATGCTGAGGAAGCACTCAAGTGTCTGAGCGAACAAATTGCTGATGCCTATTCTTCCTTCCATAGCGTCCGTGCCATCCGGATTGATGGGGCAGGCAAAGCTACTCAAGACAGTGATACTGTCAAACAAGAGGTAGATCAGGAGTTGAGCAATGGATTCAGAAATGGCCAGAATGCAGCTGTGGTACACCGCTTTGAGTCACTGCCTGCAGGCTCCACTTTGATCTTCTATAAGTACTGTGACCATGAAAATGCTGCCTTCAAAGATGTAGCCTTAGTCCTGACTGTCTTGCTGGAAGAGGAGACACTTGGAACCAGTCTAGGCCTAAAGGAAGTTGAAGAAAAAGTGAGAGATTTCCTTAAAATCAAATTCACCAACTCTGACACACCCAGCTCCTACAAACATATGGATGCAGACAAACTGAGTGGACTCTGGAGCCGTATTTCACACTTAGTCCTGCCAGTACAACCTGAAAATGCCCTGAAAAGGGGCATCTGCTTGTAAGGGGTGAGAGAAGAGAAAATCATGTCTCAAGTTCTGAGAATTTTTCAGATTTTTCTAAGCAGAGATAGGACTCAGAGCTCTTTTTGAAAAAAGTTTTTTTTAAAAAGAAGTTAAGTTCTTAAATAAGTATGGAACACCTAAATCATTTATTCAATGCGATCATCTTTTTTAAAAGAATCATTTCCCTATTTCATTATGATCTGCATTGATGGCATATGAGAACTATAAATTATATGCAGTCACATGAGGGTCTGTTTAGATTCTGGGTTGAGTCATTCTTTTGCTGTGGTATAACCAGTGGATGGTATTAGGCTCTTTCCTGTGAATCTTCCCAATTTTTTAACTTAGGTTTTTCACAGAGCTTGTTGGGTTATTTAGTAAGTAGCTCTTACCTAAATGCAACCCTGTTTTGTTCTCTTATATATCATTTAACTGTGAGTTCCTTAGCTTCTGCTTATAGGAACAAAAATAATGGAAGGTCATCTGAGTGTGTGTTTGGAGGGTGAGAAAAGGAGGCAGTAAGAGAGAGAAATTGTGAAATGAGGAAGGAAAGGGGGAAAAAAGTCTCCATGATGAAATGTTAAAATAAGCCATTGACACTTAGGTTAGTCAAACATATATGAACAGTGAATTCTGTTGGCAATTGTTTTTCAGGTGTCCTTTTTTCCCCTTTAAGAATTTTTTTGGTCCTCCCAAGGATTGGGAAAATGTATATCACAAAGTTTAGTGTATTTGTTCATTTGACTCTTATGGGTAGATAAATTCAGAGCATTTTGTTTTGGACATAATCGTGAAGCTTTTGTTTTAAATTAAGAAATATAATTTCAGGACTTCATCAACCATTTGTTAACCACTTTCCTGGGCTACTGAAGGATTTAATTCCTGCATGTCCACTGGTTGTAGACTAAGTCCTTTAATGACACTCTTATAGCAGATGTAAAGATTTGCTATACATGTGGTAAATCTTATTAAGAGGGCCTCAAGAAAAAAAAAGTGAACTTTATATATGAAGAATGTTAAAATGTACTGCTGTACATTACTATACTACTACAGTATTTCAGTTGTAACTGCATCTATAACAGCTTTCTCATCTGTCAACTGTTCTGGTTTTCTTAGAATCTTAAAATCTAGATCTACCTTTTTTTACTTAATTGCCTGCACACATTTAAATGAAAACATTAAAGTGTTTTCTAAAATAATAGAGCCAATCATAGGCTTCATCACTTAACTTTTGAGAATACCATGACTGATAGTAGTGTGTGGTACAGCTTCTTCCCGCTAGGACCACCAGGATTCATAAATTTATACTCCCTATTGTAATTTGTTCTGGACTGTCAGAAATCAGATCATCTGATTTATAGAGGATTCTAAAACAAAAGTTTTCGAAAAGGCTTGTTTTATACATATATATGTATATACATATACACATATATATTATATGGAAAAAAAATGTTTTTATTAAATGTTTCACTGACCAAAATAATTTTAAAGTAATTAACATTACTTATATCTTTCAGGAAAAATTATTGTTAGCAGTTGATCTGTAAATGACTTTAAGAGCTATTTTAGTAATTTAAATAAATTTGCTTTCTTGGTTTGTACTCTCTGTATATGTTGTAAATGTAATGATTCATAAACCTTTTTTTAAAATTAATCCTAGAGTTTTCTTTACACTTGAACAATCTTAGTGCCTACTGATAGGAGAAATTGAGGCCGAAGAGTTGGAGCCATTTATAAGTACATTGATTAGAAATATGATCACCATGATTTTCTGTTTTATCCAGGAATTCTGGATTATCACTAAAATAGAATCACTTTTGGCATTCCTGACTTGACAAAAAAATCTACAGCAGCATTTCTCAAATTTTTTATTCTCATATTCCCAAAGAGCCTTTTTAGTTTTTTTTTAATCATCTAACCCTATGAAATTTTAGTACCAGACATATCCTGTATATCTCTTTATGGACTGTATAAATTTTTGTGCTTTATACATATGAAGAGTAAGATTTTTATTACCCCCAAGAACCTGTTTTTGCCCCCATCAAGAATGCATGCATACTTAACATTTTTATTTTAGATCATTGCTACCAAAAACATTTTATCTTCTGTTCATGTTACTGTAATCCTTTTGAAAGGGAAAATTTAATAACTGATGAGGTTAAAAACAGGAACTAGGGTCTCTAGAAATTAGGCACATTGTAACTGGGTAACAACAGTGGCCCAAGAGAAGCCACAGTACAGTACTGGTCTTAGAAATTTTAGAAACTTAATTTGCTACCCTTTTATTAATGACTTTTTTATATTTAAGGAAGTTTTCTAAACCTCCAATCCTCAAAACAAAGACTGTAAGTAGACTTGATTTTCATCCTACTCAGGCTTATAACTTAAGATTTCCGTAGTTTAGTTAATGCCTAAGCTAAAGATATGAAACCCAGTTTCCCCATGATCTTACCCTTTGGAAAGTGGCCTTTATGTTGGCAATGCATAAGGAAGCATTTCTTACTGAATGCATAAATATCTCCTGTACTGTTCTGCTATATTTTCCTTATCAAAGTCATGGAGTCATCTTACAGTATGAGGATTTTACTGGTTATTAGCTACCTAGGATGAAGATGTGAGTCCTGAACTGGGAAACTAAACTGAGAAGGCTGCCATTGCCTGGTAAGAGGAAACTTCTGCCTTAAATACCTACCCATCTCTCTGGCCTAGATTCAGAGATGTCATGGTGTGCTTGCAGGCTCTTCTTAATGGCGGAGAAGATACAGCCTGTCCCCTGAGCATGAACTGGGAGAAACTGCTCACACTCCACACATTGTAGTCTTGCCTTTTACACATTGTTGAACTCTGCTAGAATACTTTATTTCCTGCCCTCTACCTTTCCCCAAATTTCATGCTCTGCGAATTCCTTGTCTTTAAGGCCTTAACTTTTTTAGGCAGAACTTCAGTGACATCTTCCTAATTCCCTTCCCTCAAACAGTGGCTCAGGTGCCACTTTGAGCTCTCATCCATCTTGTATTACACCTGGTGACAAACCAGGTAGGACATTCCCACTACCATATGCCTCTTGAGAGCAGGGGAGTGTCATCAGTATATGCCCAGTGGTAATCTCAGACTGTTCAAATATTTGTTGAATAAAAATTGCAAGCATTCCCTGGTTAGCTAAGGCAGACAAGTTGCATCTTGCTCAGTGTTTTATTTGCTTTTTTTCTCTTTTTTCCTGAGCCTTTTCCTAAAGCTTTATATAATTATTTCAGCCTGGATTCAGTAGTGCTGTGAGTAATTTAAGGGGAAGGAGACCAGTCCCAGTGCTGCAAGGGAAACTGGTCTTCCTCTGGTGGAAACAACCATTATGGAGAGGTCTCTAAGGGGAACATAAATGTTGAGACACAAGTGGGAGGTGTGAGGTCTCCACAATGAGATTTGGGATTGAGTTTTATTGAAAAAGCTAGCAAGTTTCCTTACATTAATGCATATTGCCTAAGAATTATCACCCGGGTAAGAGATGGCTATGGATATGACCAGAAGATGAGTTAAGAAAAATATTTGAGAGAATAACAAGCTTTGGTAAGTGACTGTAATGTTAGAGAAAATACCTTATAGAGGACTCTCCGAAGTGCTGTACTGCTAATTACTCTACCACTTCATACATTTAGCTATGTGTCTTCTCTCCCCAAACACTAAGCACACAGTGGATGACACTAGTCTTATCGCTGCACATCTTTATGCTGACTTCTGGCAGTTTGAAGTAGAGAGAGTCCCGTATTTAGTCAGGAATTGTTTGATGGTAAATAAAAATCCTAACCAGCAAAAGATAAAAGGAGAGGTGAGATGGGTATTGTAAGATTATACATTTCAGAGCTCAAAGACTTGATGGGGAGACCTCAGCTGCCGTTCATTCCCTCTGCCTCCCTACATCTGGCTTGCTTGCCCCAGCAACTTAACCTTTGTGACACACACACACACCAAGAGGGTGAACCTGATTAGCTCAATCCAGTGTACGGATGATCCCTGAAAAGCTGTCCAGGTCACCCCTTTGCAGGGACCCTGGATAGAGATGGGGTAGGCAGTCTACTGAGGTCAGGCCAAGGAATGGGAAGGTAGAGCTAAGGGATAACTGAATACATTTTCAAATTTATGAAGACTTAATGTGATGCTATACCAGTTAACTTATTCCGTTTTGGCTTTTAAAATAAAAATCAATAATAGGGAATTAGGTAATAGAAACAAAAAGTTTTCAGATCTTGTCTTAATCATGGTTCCATCTGGATAAATTTGACCTAAACAAGTCCTGTTTGCAGCTCTGCTACAAATGTGTTCGGATTTCTTCCCATTGCTTCTGTTTTCTATGCATTAAAAGGGGGACAGTTATCAAAACTTCAGGTACTATTTTAATATATAATGGCTATTATTAATTTGTTGTAAGCCCCTCAGGAGAACACTGTTTCTTGGGCAAGTGAGATGGTAGGTGGCCAAGTACTTCTGATTCAAATTTGATTTTCTTAGGGTTTGTTTTCCCACTTTGGAACACACTATTTCAAAAGAGAATTTACCTATGCTATACAGCTCTCTATAAAGAATATTCACCCACAGCAGTTATGTGCATTTCTTGATAGGCATTTTTTTTAAATCTACTTTCAATTTCTCATAGTTTAAGTGGACTTCCTTTTAGTTTGTGAACAACAAAGATGGAAAAGATCTATATAAACATTTATAGTTGAATATGTATTAAGTTGTCCCTCACCCTTTTCTATTTTTTGTTAGCTATTTACTGAGTGCTTATTAATGCTCCAAATATGTTCCAAGTGCTTTACACCTATTAGCTGATTTAATTCTCACAATAAGTCTGGGAGGTGGTACTGTTATCCCAGTTTAATAGGCAGGAGCCTGAAACACAGAAAGGTAAAGTGACACTTGAATACCTAAGTAAAAAGCAGCGAGGCAGAGATGTGAATGCAGGCAGTCTGGCTTCAAAACAGTTATTCTTACTACCATGTGTCTAGAACCCCATATACATTGTTTTCCCTCCATTTCTTCAGGCTCTGTAGAGGTTGGAGTATTTTTCCAACCTGCAGATTCTTATTTGTGGCTCTCTTTTAAACCTGTTTCTCTCTTTCCTCCTTGCTCAGCTTTGTGGATCCAATATTGCACACACCAAGGGTCTGAATTTCGAATAGAGGGAGAGTCATCACAGTCCTACCTGTTGACTCACAGTGGTGTACACCGGCATCATGCTTTTGGAACTGCAGGCCTACAGTATTGACTCATAGTTCATCTTTCAAAATACCTACATGTAACCTAAATGCTAGTTCTCACTGAAAACCACAGAGCCTCTGTATTTGCCCTCCCTGTCTTGATGCGAAATAGCACCTCTTTGAATGCCTAAGAAAGAGTCCATGTGCATCAAAAGCATTGGCAGTTTCACAGAGACAGACGGAAAACTATGACAGAGCACAGGGCCTACCCTCTGGAGTCTGGAGTCTGACTGCTTGAGTCCAAATCCCAGCTCCATATCTTTCTGTCTGACAAATTACCTAACTTCTCTGTGCTTCAGTTTTCTAATTTCTAACATGGGGGATATAATGAACCTACTATTTTATAGTGTTGTGAGGACTTAGAAAGTGCTGAGGGACATGTTAACCATTTTTGTTCACCTATATTCTTACCAACAACTCTCCTCTCCCCTTCTGTGTAGCATCAACTAGCTGGCTTCTATTTCCAACCCTCTTCCCACAGTGACCTTTATTATGCAGAGTACTTGAGCTTTCTCCCCAGTGTACACCTCCACTGCAAACCCCAACCTGTCACAGCGTTCATTAAACAGGGATTCCAGTTCCCAGAACCCACCCTCCAAAAATCTGCAGCATTATAAAGAATGAGAAAACTTCCCATAACACACACACATATATAGCTCTTTCATTTGTCCATGGCTTTTTCTTATTCAACCTCACTCTCCTGCTCTTATGCTTAAAGACCTCACTTTTTTTTCAAGCAACAGTAGTTTGTGGAGATTATTTTCTGAGTGTTACAGAAACCACCCTGTGTTGAACATGAAGATGTGCCACCTAGATTTCTTTACAAGAAGGAATTTGTTGTGCCAACTGCTGGGAGTGTAGTCAGTGGACAGCCTTCACTGTCAGCCTCCTCATGGATTGCTTCAGCTGCAGTTACTTTGCCCAAGGTCATGCCAGGGGAGGGTGAGAGTGGTGCCCATCCAATGACTGATTGAGGGAATCTAAAGGCTAGACCTTTTCAGTCCAACTCAGTGCAATTCATATGGACCTTTTGCCCTCAAGAACTTCCTCAAGGGGGCGACTGAGGCTATAAGACTTACAGGGTGACTGACTTCTCCCTCTCCTCTGTCCTGCCCCCTTCTCCCACAGGTGTTCATACAAGGGCACTCCCTAGTAAATATAGTAAATTTTGTCTGAATCTGCCTCTAAGATGCCAACCTGTGTCACTCTGCAAGCTTGGTGTAGTCTACAAATGGAGTGAATAATAGCTAATATTTACTGAGCACTTAACATGTACCAGGCACCATACATGTAGTATCTCATTTAATTTTCTTGACCCTTTGAGGTAAACTATCTCCCTGTTACAGATGAGGAAAA